TTACCAATACCAAATTTCCTCTTTGAGTCTTTGAAAATTCCATATATAACAAAAAAATATTTTTATAAAAGGAAAAATAAAAATTATCCCAAGTCATGAAATATAGTCAAACTGATTTTTTAAGGATATATGCATCTTTCATATTAGACTTATCCATAAAAATAAAGTACTCAAAAGCATTTTCAATCAACCTGTAAAGTCACAAAAAATCTACCCTAAGAGTAAAAAAAAATCTGGAATGCTTTGAATTTCATCACTGCTAGTAGAGATACATTTTCTGAATAGAAGTGAATTTAAAATAATTTCTACTATATTATGTTTGTCAACCTATAAAACATTTATAACTAAATTTTAAGAATCAAGTACCAGGATATCAGTCGTTTGACTTTAGGCAGTTAAAATCTTGGCATTTATGTTGTTTTCTTATTAATAAATATAATCATAATTTATTTCTTAAGATTTATCATAGGCTATACTACCAAAGTGATATAAGCCATACCAGTGGTCGGCAAATTCATTAGTGAAAAGAATAAATTATCAGCTGCAGGACAATTTAAAAAAAATGTTGAGAGCCAGATTTCGTTTAACGAAACCTGTAAAGAACCATTTTTGTGGACGGCTGGCCGAGCCGAACTCCGGTCACTAAAGACCAGGATGTGGCTCTCGAGCCGCGATTTGCCGACCACTGGACTATTATAACTATCAGCGACTTTGATACTAGTCTATATAACAGTATGTCAACTCGGATGTAATATTATCAGGCTTGAATGCTGTCTTTGATACTAGTCTATACGGCAGTATGTCCATCAGGACGTAGCTTCTTTAGGATTGATTGCTGTATTTGATACTTGTCTTGTACAGCAGTTTGTTTACTCGGGTGTAATATCTTTAGACTTGAACTCTTGCTTTGATACTTCTCTATACAACAGTACGCCTAACAAGATGTAGCATCTTCAGATTTGATTGCTGTCTTTGATACTAGTCTATCAAGCAGTATGTCTGCCGAGATGTAGCATCTTCAGGCTTGATTGTTGGCTTTGATACTAGTCTTTACTAGAGACCGACCGAATGTCGGCTTCTGCTTTGGTTTCGACGCCGAAAGTTGCGATTTAATCACTCTTTCGGCCGAAACCGGAAGGTAAACTTTTGTCTTAATTTAGTCTTCGGCCGAAACTGAAAAAGCTACCTTTCGTTTTAATTTCGGTTTCAGTAGAAAGTAATCGGGGTTTTCGGTAAATCTATCAGAAGTCAGACTGTTTGTATGTCCCTAGGCCGACAATCCGATATTCCTTTTTTCTCTACTTCTTGCAGTCATCGCACGTTATATGACTAATACTCTGCGAAAAGTGCCACAGCTACATGATGAACTACGTGTACTTTATTTCCAAAATAATAATTTTTTAATTAAGCCTAGTCAAATGCAAAACGTTTTCTTGATGAAAGTCTACAGGAAAGGTAATATTTATATAATTTGTGTTGTGATTTGTCTACGGTGGAGAAAGTCTTTGAAGGCAACCGTCTGGTGGAATTTTCCCCAGTTTCTCCATGAACAATTAAGAAATATAATCATTGCGTCTTAACCTAGCTCTTCTATTGTTGACTCAATGCCAACCAGGATTGTTTTGGACTGTCTGGAAGTCTTGCTTCCTGTACTGGTCAATCACTGATGCAGTGCATAATTTCCTCATCACCACCAGTAACAGAAACATTGCAAATCCCATCTACATGCATAGGAGCCAAAATGATCAATAAATTGATCGTGGGCCCTTAAGATATAGAAGAAGAAGAGAAGAACATCGTGAATATTAACCTTCAGTCTGCGACAGACCCGAGTCTCTTCAAGACAGTGGGCATTAAGCCTCTGCTAAAAAAAGTGGTCTGGACCCAAATGACTTTCAAGAATTTTCTGCCGGTCTCCAGCCTGCCCTTTGTATCTAAAATTCTTGAGAGAGTTGTGTCACAGCAGCTTGTGCAGCATCTAAACACTTATGACTTACTTGACAAGTTTCAATCTGCATATCGACCTGGGCACAGCTGTGAGACAGCATGTCTCCGTGTTATGAATGATAATCTTTGTAGTGCTGACAGTGACGATCTGACAATATTGGTTCTGTTGGATCTCAGTGCTGCCTTTGATGTGATCGACCATGAGCTTCTTCTGTCAAGACTTCAGAATGTGGCAGGCATTACTGGATCTGCACTTCACTGGTTCTCTTCTGATCTGACTGACAGGACTCGGCGTATTGTAGGGAAGCAGGCATCTTCCATGGACACTTCCGTTACCTGTGGTGTGCCACAGGGCTCAGTTTTAGGACCTATCCAGTTCTTCATGTACACTAGCCAGCTCGGCAAAATTATTGAAAGTCATGGTATTTCCCGCAAAGTATTCGCAGATGACGCAGAACTATATAAGTATTTACGCTCTGATACCTTGGAGTGTGCTACTGCTGTTCAGGATGTCGAGGACTGCTGTCTTGCTGTGAAAGATTGGATGTCTTCAAACAGACTAAAATTAAATGATGATAAGACTGAGGCAATTATTTGTGGTTCAGACGCCAATCTTTGGAAAGTTACCATTGCATCAATAGAAGTTGGTGAATCAGTACTCGACTGTCAGAGACCTTGGCCTTTATATTGACAGTAAACTTAGAATGATTTCTCATATCAGTTATGTTGTCAAGGCATGTTTCTGTCATCTGCGTGCCTTGGGTCAGCTGTGTCCTCAACTCAGTAGGAGAACAGCCAATGCTGTAGCTGTAACTCTACTCCTGTCAAGATTAGAATACTGTAGTAGTTGTTTGTGGGGTTTACCTCAGGACCAAATTCAGAGACTCCAAAAGATACAAAATACTGCAGCACGCATTGTATCGACATGAAAAAATCTGACCACATCACCCCAGTTCTACGAGATCTCCATTGGGTTGCTGTGAGCTAGCGCATTAAATACAAAATTCTGTCGCTGGCGTACCGCTTCTTAGATGGCTGAGCCCCGGGATATCTCAAGGACTTTATTAATAAACATCTATCCTTGAAGAGCCTGCAGTCTTCAACATAGTACTTGCTGAGTGTTCCTAGTGTGGATGAACACAGAAAAAAAGTCTTACAGAGTGCGCTCTTTTGTAGTGATAGCGCCAAAATTATGGAACAGCTTGCTCCAATCTTTTAGGGGAATTGTAAATTATAAAAAATAATTTTAGAAACAATTACATTTTTTGGTTTGTTTTTAAATAGATTTCGGAGGACCAGAGCGCAGTGAGCACGCTAGAGTGGCATGGATACCAGCGCGATATAAATATCAAATCATCATCATCATCATTATTTTTGTTTTACATTTTTTTAACAATAAAATTTGGAAACCTAGGTTTATTCAATTCATTCATTTATGACATTCATTTTAATGTATCATTTTCATGCTCATCTATGTTGTCATAGGCAAAGGTGAATGTTATTGAATAATAGTAATATTTCCATTAGTATTAAAAAAAATTTTTTTTTAAAATAAGGATTTGTCAATTGGTTCAATTCTTCAAAATCAGCATTAATCAAACTAGTCAACATTCTTTTTGACGCATGTGCATCATCATGGGCTCTTTTAATCATTATATAATAGGTCTACTAGAGCCCTGTTTACTTTTGTGCGTTTTGCGACCAATTTATATGTCTTTTGCGATTCTTCGTCGAGGCCGTAAGAACATCAATTTTAAAATGTAAAAATACCCCCCCCCCCTTTTTTTTTCCAAACCAATGTAGGGTGAGGGAGGTCGATCGCCAAATGAAATAATTAAGTACCCAGCATGAAAAAAACTTCTGTGTACCAACTGGGCAAAAAAATAAAAAATTTTAATCATTATTTAATAGGTCTACTAGGGTCCTGTTTACTTTTGTTCGTTTTGCGACCAATTTATATGTCTTTTTCGATTCTTCGTCGAGGCCGTAAGAACATCAATTTTAAAATGTAAAAATACCCCCCCCCCCTTTTTTTTTCCAAACCAATGTAGGGTGAGGGACGTCGATCGCCAAATGAAATAATTAAGTCACCAGCATGAAAAAAACTTCTGTGTTCCAACTGGGCTAAAAAATTAAAAGAGCGATATCTTGCCAGCTATTTATGAAAACACAAAGCATTAGTATGACGATAGCCGTAAAACATTGGGGTGATATTTTTATAGCATTAATAATTTATACTTAAACGTCAATTGGCTCTATTAGAGCCACTGAACTTTTTGTAGGTCTATCTTGTAGAATGTAATCACATTATAAATGCAAAGTAAAATGGTAGAATCCAAAGTATTCAATATATGTTTGTATATTAAAATATTCACGATCATCTCATTTTTTTTATATTTTCACCCATCATTTTTTCAATGTTTGCAATATGTATGCGCTAACGAATTTTTAAAAATCTATATATTTCGGTTTAGGCCGAAAGTCTTGTTAAGCTTTGCGTTTCGGTTACGGTTTCGGCCAAAAGTATCGTTATGCTTTTGGTTTCGGCTTCGACTTCGGCTTAAAACTTTTTTTAAACTTTCGGCCTAGTTTTGGTTTCGGCTGAAATTAGAAAACCACTTTCAGCCGGTCTCTATTCTTGACAGCAGTATGCCTATTAGGAAGCAGCATCTTGATGCTTGACCATTTGCTTTGATACTAGTCTATACAGTAGTATGCTACCGGAATGTAGCATCATGTAGCATCTTTAGACGTGAACGCTGGCTTTGATATACACATGAGTGAAACAAAGTATGGGAAATAAAAAAAAAACAACGAACGTATCAACACGAAGCTTTCGTTAGTCTATACAGCAGTATGTCTACTGGGATGCATTATCTTAAGGCTTAAATATTGGCTTCGTTACTTGTCTATACAGCAACATGCCTACTTTAAGATGTAAAATTTAAGAGTGGCAGGCTTGCCTCTGTCCTAATCAATACAGCAGTATGCCTCCGGGTAATTTTTCTCTTACACTTCTGTAATTAAAACAAAAAAAAACTTTTATCTATTAGATCGCAGATGTGGCAATGGTTTCTATGGCAGAGGGTGTCGGTTCAAGTGTCGATGTAAAAAGGGCTGTAAAATAACAGGAACGTGTCTTAGATACTCAGGGTGTTTGACAGGATGGTTCGGCCGAAGATGCGAGCACAGTAAGTTGAGTTTTTGTTATCTAATTGTTATATGGAAAAAAAATAGTTAAATGCCCGACATGTAATTTTAAGATGGAATATCCAGTTGTGGTATAGCATATTTACTTGTTGCATTGGAAATATACTTTTAATATGGGATATCTAGCTGAACTAATGAGATTTTTTTAAAAGTTATGACATGGGAGACCTAGTTTGAAAATAATAATAATAACAATAGATCTTATTTGAAAATCACGCTTCATCTCCAAAAGCTCGAATCGCCATACAAAGTCATCCAAGACAAATGAAAAAAATCCATATTTTACCACATTGAAATACAAAACGCAACGTTACAAGAGCTACATACAAGAATACCCATTCCAAGTCTTTCATCCCTTGCAACCATAAACAACACAGGCCACAAGACATCTAGGAGATAATTAGCTAGTTGTAAAAGATGATAGACAAGATCATCCCAACAGGTTTTTGCGAAATAGATAGGTTTTCAAATTGGTTTTTTTAAAGACTCCAGTATCCAGTGCTATGCTTGGAGTCACCTGTCTGGGGATATAAAGTGAATCTGAAGCTGAAAAATAACTAAATCTGTACCTGGATATAACTAAATCTGTACCTGGATATAACTAAATCTTCAGCTGGAAATTAACTAAATCTGCAGCTGGAATTAACTAAAACTGAAGCGGTATATTAACTAAAAATGTACCTTTATTAACGAAATCTGCAGCTCGACATTAACTAAATCTATAGCTGGAAATTAACTAAATCTTTACCTGGATATAAACGAAATCTTTAGCTGGATATTAACTAAATCTTTAGCTGGATATTAACTAAATCTGTTGCTGGATATTAACTAAATCTGCAGGTATATTTTACCTAAATCTGTACCTGGATATTAACTAAATCTTTAGCTGGATTTTAACTAAATCTATTGCTGGATATTAATTAAATCTGCAATTGGATATGAACTAAAGCTTCAGTTGGATATTAACTAACTCTGTAGCTGGATATTTACTAAATCTTTAGCAGAATTTTAACTAAATCTTCAGCTAGATTTTAACTAAATCTGTTAGTGGATATTAACAACTAAATCTACAGCTGGATATTACCTAAATTTGTACCTAGATATTAACTAAATCTGTACCTGGATATTAACTAAATCTGCAGCTGGATATTAACTAAAGCTTTAGTTGGATATTAACTAAATCTGTAGTTGGATATTTACTAAATCTGTAGCAGAATTGTAACTAAATCTTCAGCTAGATTTTAACTAAATCTGTTGCTGGATATTAACTAAATCTTCAGCTAGATTTTAACTAAATCTGTTGCTGGATATTAACAACTAAATCTGCAGTTGGATATTACCTAAATCTGTACCTGGATATTAACTAAATATTTAGCTGGATTATTAACTAAATCTAAAGCTGGATATCAACTAAATCTAAAGCTGGATATGAACTAAAGCTTCAGTTGGATATTAACTAAATCTGGAGCTGGAAATTAACTAAATCTGGAGCTGGATATTACATTAATTAGATACGAACAAGTTCTGCCAATATAACAATATAAGGAAGCTTTAATAATAATTTTACATAATCATAAGTATACGTTTTGACGCATTACTTCATTAGTACAACAACAAAAAATAATTAATAAGCATAAATTAAATTTACATAATAAAAATATTTACATATATCCTACCACAAAAAGGGAAGAAAAAGCGTCCCTTTATTGTTATATTGACACAAATTGTTCGTGTCTACTTCTAACTTTACCTGTAGATGGATATTTACTAAATCTATAGATGGATATTAACTAAATCTGTAGATGGATATTAACTAAATCTGTAGATGGATATTAACTAAATCTGTAGATGGATATTTACTAAATCTGTAGATGGATATTTACTAAATCTGTAGATGGATATTAACTAAATCTGTAGATGGATATTTACTAAATCTGTAGATGGATATTAACTAAATCTGTAGATGGATGTTTACTAAATCTGTAGATGGATATTAACTAAATCTGTAGATGGATATTTACTAAATCTGTAGATGGATATTAACTAAATCTGTAGATGGATATTTACTAAATCTGTAGATGGATATTTACTAAATCTGTAGATGGATATTTACTAAATCTGTAGATGGATATTTACTAAATCTGTAGATGGATATTTACTAAATCTGTAGATGGATATTAACTAAATCTGTAGATGGATATTTACTAAATCTGTAGATGGATATTAACTAAATCTGTAGATGGATATTTACTAAATCTGTAGATGAATATTTACTAAATCTGTAGATGGATATTTACTAAATCTGTAGATGGATATTAACTAAATCTGTAGATGGATGTTAACTAAATCTGTAGATGGATGTTTACTAAATCTGTAGATGGATATTTACTAAATCTGTAGATGGATATTAACTAAATCTGTAGATGGATGTTTACTAAATCTGTAGATGGATATTAACTAAATCTGTAGATGGATATTAACTAAATCTGTAGATGGATATTTACTAAAACTGTAGATGGATATTAACTAAATCTGTAGATGCATATTAACTAAATCTGTAGATGGATATTAACTAAATCTGTAGATGGATATTTACTAAATCTGTAGATGGATATTAACTAAATCTGTAGATGGGTATTTACTAAATCTGTAGATGGATATTTACAAAATCTGTAGATGGATATTTACTAAATCTGTAGATGGATATTGAAAAAATTTGTTGCGTGATTTTGTTCTTTATCGATAGTTATACCTAACCTAGAGTACATTTTTGATATGTAACCAAGAGTATAGTTTTGATATGTGACCAATAGTATAGTTTTGATATGTAACAAAAAGTATAGTTTTGATATGTAACCAATGGTATTTTTTTATATTTAACCAATAGTATAGTTTTAATATGTAACCAATAGTATAGTTTTGATATGTAGCCAAGAGTATAGTTTTGATATGTAACCAATAATATAGTTTTGAAATGTATCCAATAGTATAGTGTTAATATGTAACCTAAGAGTATAGTTTTGATATTCTACTAATAGTATAATTTTGATATGTAACCAAATGTATGGTTTTCATATGTAAGCAATGGTATAGTTTTGATATGTCACCAATGGTATAGTTTTGATATGTAACCAAATCTATGGTGGTATACCAGGCCTAATGAATTGAGATTTATTAACCACATCTGCAGTGGGAGATGTCAACATAATTGGTGTGGGAGATACAACTATCTATGTAGTGGGATAACAATCATAGTGCAGTGGGATAATAAACATGGAGTAGTAGGATAAGAACCATAGCGTAGTGGTATAAGAACCTTAGCGTTGTGGGATAAGAACCATACCGCAGTGGGGATAAGAACCATAGCGTAATGGGATAAAGAACCATATCAGGGTGGGATAGAGGATAAATAACACATTTAAGTGTAATGTCATGTTAGGATATGTGCTACGAAAGGGCCAATGACATGAAGAGTGAAATAATTTCAAAGGTATACTTTGAAAGACAATTTGTTTATTAAGATATTAGGTAGACTCTGGTTTCTGCCAGAGTATCTTTCAGAAGAGTCTCGGGGTATATTCTGATGTTGCGTTTAGACACTAAAATTTGTAAGGCAACTTCTGTACAACGAGTGCTACCACAAGGCTGTGAATTCAAAGAGCCTAGTTTCTTGAAAATATAATAATAACGTACGTTATAAAAATAGCAACCTCTACAAAATGTTTAAGCAGAAAAGTAAAGATCCCGAAAGCACATGTTTAATAATCACTACTACAGAATGGGTTCTCAAAGGTGGTCTCCGGGCCGGAGAGGAGGGGGGGGGGGAGTTTTTCAAACGAGTGCTACCACAAGGCTGTGAATTCAAAGAGCCTAGTTTCTTGAAAATATAATAATAACGTACGTTATAAAAATAGCAACCTCTACAAAATGTTTAAGCAGAAAAGTAAAGAACCCGAAAGCACATGTTTAATAATCACTACTACAGAATGGGTTCTCAAAGGTGGTCTCCGGGCCGGAGAGGAGGGGGGGGGGGATGTTTTCCGGTCCTCAAAAAATAAGCGGTGTTGACGGGCGTACGAAAGAGAAAAAAAAAGTAATTAATGTAGCGCCAGTGTTTAAAGGTTTGTAGATAAATTCCTCCTGGATGATCACACATAAACATTTGAGAGTCGTTGCTAAAGCATGGTCTAAAATTATTTCTGTGGTCATTATTGGTGGCATGTACTCATATTAACACTACCGTTTACTTAAATAACAAAGGCGTTGAAACGACTCAGAGTGTGCGTGTTGCCTATTTACAGTGTGTGCCCCTGGTTACTATGGAGACAACTGTCAACAGAAGTGTCCGATGGGCTGTGACTCCCGAGGCTGTCATCACATCACTGGTATCTGTGTGAACTGTAAAACTGGTTACATGGGTGGCTCTTGTGATCAAGGTGACAAAAATTAATTTCAGCTTAAGTTTCACATGCACGGTGAGCACTCTTTTTTAAGGATTCTTGTCTCCCAAACATCTGACAAATAACACCACAGGCATCACCACTGAAATTAAGGTCGGGGAGGAAAGACTAGAGACTGTAGGCCGCTTCAAATACCTAGGAGTAATAGTCTCAGAAAAAGGCTCAAAGCCCGAACTGATGTCCAGGATTGCGCAGACTACAAAAGCACTAAAGAGGCTTAAGAAAATATGGAAGGACACAGATATAGCCCAGTACACCAAAATAAGGCTGATGCGCTCATTAGCCCTCTCCATTTTCCTGTATGACTGCGAATCCTGGACATTAACAGCCGATCTTGAAAAGAAAATAAAGGAAATGGAGATGAGATGCTTCAGAAGCATTTTTGGCATCTGCTATAGGGACCATATCTCCAATGATACAGTGAAAAAGGGGGTTCGCCAGGCAATTGGAGAGTACGATGACCTACTGGTGACTGTGAAAAAACACAAACTACAATGGTACGGCCACGTAACAAGGAAACAGCGGCTTGCCAAAGAAATATTGCAGGGCACCACAAGAGGAGGGAGAAGAAGAGGAAGACAAAGAAAGACAAAGATGGGAGGATAACATAAAAGAATGGACAGGACTAACACTGGGCAATGCTGTGCGTAGTGCAGAAGACAGAGACGAATGGAGGAGGATAGTTCACATGTCATCTGGGGCGCCCCAACGGTCCAACGACTAAGGGACATGAAGATGGTGATGATGTCCCTTCAAACACGTGCCTTGATTGCAGTACTTTTGAAGGACTTGTCTTCCAGGATTCTTGTCTACCAAACACGCGCCTTGATTGCAGTTCTTTTGACGGACTTGTCTTCCAGGATTCTTGTCTACCAAACACGTGCCTTGATTGCAGTACTTTTGAAGGACTTGTCTTCCAGGATTCTTGTCTACCAAACACGCGCCTTGATTGCAGTTCTTTTGAAGGACTTGTCTTCCGGGATTCATGATTATTTAATAGTGGTTTATCATTTTGTCTGAACGTTCTAGTTTTAATGATTTTTTTTTAAACAATTGTCTTTGTGGGAGAGCAACGGTAAGGACAGTTGTGGCAACCTGTAAATTTTACGCTAGGTGGTAACTCTGGTGTAATTGTAATCCAGTTATTTGTATTCCATTGTTGACATTTCAGCGTGTGGTCGGGGAACGTGGGGTGTCTCGTGTAAACAGACCTGCGACTCGCGTTGCCTGGGTTCCACGTGCGACAAGGTGTCTGGTCTGTGTGATGGCGGATGTGAGCCTGGATATGCTCCAACTGCTTGTACTGAGGGTAAGAGAGAAAATCATGTTCCGCCTACTTGTTCTCAGGTTTAGAGAGATAATCATATTTCGCTTGCTTTTTATGAGGGTAAGAGATAAGGTCATACTCCACTTACTTGTTCTGAAGGTAAGAAAAAATCATATTCCACCTGCTTTATTCCGAGGGTAATAGAGAAGATAATATTCCACCCTGTTCTGCGGGTAAGAGAGAAGATCATACTTTATAAATCTGCTATTTTTTCCCTCTTGCATTCCTTTTTTAATTTCTCCTAAACATTTTACAATTTGTCTGACTAAACAAGAACCAAGCCTGTGTGTTTAACTTACTTTGAAGAAATTTGCATCACATTCACAAATTTTCTGGTACTTTGAAGACATTTACACTACATTCCTAAACATCCTGGTCCTTTAAAGACATTTGCAACATATTTCCCAGATGTTTTGTATATATATATATTTATGTTTTTATACGGAGGTAAGTCAATGTAGACTTTATAGTTTATCGAAATTGAACGCAGTCGAAATCCAAGAGTCCAAATTCATTTCAAACGTGTATATTATGTGCATCGGACAATACCTTCCATCAGTGGGTGAATTCAAGAAGCCACATACAATGGTTGTTTCACTTTGCAAACCTTTCCCTGAAACGTCATTCTCCTACGTCTTGCCGATTGAAATGACCGCTGGGTTTGCTAAAGGGTTGACAAGTAGACAGATGATTCTTTCATTTAAAACATCATATGTGTGTCTTACCGTGGAAAGAGAGTAATAAATTTTGAATACGATTTATGTTCATTTATTCAACAAAGAATTTTTTTTTTCATTTTAAATTTTTTTTAAGGCGCGATGGAATGTACTTTTAAAATCCATAAACTATATTCAAACTTATGAAGTCGTAAAAATAAAAATGAAAGACAAACCGTATACAGCTGTATTAGATTTATAAAGAATACATTTTTTAAAAGTCATTAGAACTTGTTTTCACTTGTTTGTATGTTTGTTTGTGTGTTTTCTGTTTGGGCAGAATTTGGGGGGGGGGGAGGGGGGTTAAACAACGTCTTTTTTCTTCTTTCTGTGATGCCGTCATTATGTTACTGCATATTACACGACCACTGGGCATTAGGGTCTGAAGCAGGGGTGGGGGTGGAGGTGGTGGTCTTCCCCGACTGCGATAATCCTAGCTACGCCACTGCCAACTGCCAACAACCGTCATGTGATGTGTTAACTTTTGCTATAATGTTAGAATTATTTTGATAGATCTAATCTCCAAGGATTTTTTTTTTCGTATTTCACAGTTTGTTCGCGCGGTTACCATGGTGAAAGATGCGCCAAGAAATGCCCAGACGGCTGTGCTGACGGAAGCTGTCATCACGTGACTGGAGTCTGTTTCAAATGTACACCTGGTTATAATGGGAGACTTTGTGACAAAGGTAGATTTGGCAGAATTTTGGGCGTTAGACGTCAATTAGATATGTGGACATGAGCTGCTTGACACGAGTTAAATGTTGCCACATGAAGTGAGCTGATAATGGTTTGATCTACTCTAGTGATGCTGGTGATGGTTTGATCTACTCTAGTGATATTGGTAATGGTTTGATCTACTCTAGTGATGCTAGTGATGGTTTGATCTACTCTAGTGATGCTAGTGATGGTTTGATCTACTCTAGTGATGCTGGGATGGTTTAATCTACACTAGTGATGCTAGTGATGGTTTGATCTACTCTAGTGATGCTAGTGATGGTTTGATCTACACTAGTGATGCTGGGATGGTTTGATCTACACTAGTGATGCTAGTGATGGTTTGATCTACTCTAGTGATGCTGGGATGGTTTGATCTACACTAGTGATGCTAGTGATGGTTTGATCTACACTAGTGATGCTGGGATGGTTTGATCTACACTAGTGATGCTGGGATGGTTTGATCTACACTAGTGATGCTAGTGATGGTTTGATCTACACTAGTGATGCTAGTGATGGTTTGATCTACACTAGTGATGCTAGTGATGGTTTGATCTACTCTAGTGATGCTAGTGATGGTTTGATCTACTCTAGTGATGCTGGGATGGTTTGATCTACTCTATTGATTCTGGTGATGGTTTGATCTACACTAGTGATATATTCTGCAGTTTACAACCTATCCAAATGTGTCAATAATGGAAGAGCGGCAATTTAAGATACATTTAAATTCTTCATTAGTATCTAATCCCTTGCCTAGTATTTCCAAAATATATGAAGTTAAAATTTCGAATGAAGAACAAACTTGGCCACAAAAAGTAAAAAGTATTCATAATTTAAAACGGGAATAACATATACTGATATGTATAGTGTTAATTTGACTCAAGAAGATTTCAACAATTGCAACAATTTTAAAAAAACGTATAAATAAATGTCTATGCAATAAATTGTTTTAAGTAAAAATCTTTTTTTTCTTTTTTTTTTTTAATAATACTGGTGACATGAAAAGAAAAAATTCTTATACTACAAATATATTATAATTTCTTTCAAATGTTCAACGCTTATCCCATTTTCCCGGCTGCAGTTATACACACGATCCTTTATTTCAGAATGTGACCACGGTCATTGGGGCCTCAACTGCTCTAGCTCGTGTAGCAGACTGTGTTTAAATGAATCTTGCAACCACGTGACCGGTCAGTGTGTCGAGGGGTGTGTGCCTGGATACCTGTCACCGAACTGTGCCGAAGGTAGACAAAACTTAAAGTTTGGATAAGAGCAGATGCATTGCGAAGCATTAGGGAATAATTTACATTCACGCAGCCGTCATTTATGACGATAAAATAATTTAAATATATTCAGTGGAGCTATATTGACTGTTATTGTTTGTTGGTTGGTTCATAGCTTGTCCCTACGGTTACTATGGTAACAACTGCTCCAAATCCTGTCCACCCGGATGTTCGGAAGAAGGGTGCCAGGCCGAATACGGTGACTGCTACACTTGTATTTCTGGTTACCAAGGTGACCATTGCGAAAAAGGTACAGTTGTTAGCTCACTATCATCATAATTTGACTGTTTGTTTCACATCATTGAATTTGTTCACACTTTGTTTAACAGTATTGACTATTGTTACATTTTGCTGTACGTCATTGATTTTGTTAACATTTTGTTTTACATCCTTCACTTTTGTCACATTTTTTGGAACATCCTTCACTTTGGTCACATTTTCTTAAACATCTTCAATTGGTCAAATTTTGTTTCACATTTGTTTTGATTTCATGTCTTTAGTTCTCTATTTGTTCCATAGAATGTTGCATCTTTTTTGGGACATCGTGATGTGTGATGTTTTTGTTTTGCTTTGAAATCCTATCAAAGTGTATTGGAACGTAAGATCTAAGTGTTCAACCAATTCATGTGAGTGGGGCAATGGGGAAATCATTTTACCCTCATAAATATTGGAGAAAAATGAAAAGCTGTTTGGTGTTGACTAGGGCAACATCACCATCATAGAGAAAGATGCAGACATTGGCGTAGAAGTGTTGTAAACAGGGGCATGTCCACCTCAAGCAGCATTTTTGGCCAGCTGCGTTGTTAATAGTGAGATACACTAAGAAAGACACTGTGAGAGCTGCCATCGTATTCGTAGGATACACTGAGAAATACACTGAGGGAGAGCTGCCATCGTATTCGTAGGATACACTGAGAAAGACACTGAGGGAGAGCTGCCATCCTATTAGTGGGATGCATTGAGAAAAACTCTGAGGGAGAGCTGCCATTCTATTAGTGGGATACACTGAGAAAGACACTGAGGGAGAGCTGCCATCCTATTAGTGGGATACACTGAGAAAAACTCTGAGGGAGAGCTGCCATTCTATTAGTGGGATACACTGAGAAAGACACTGAGGGAGAGCTGCCATTCTATTAGTGGGATACACTGAGAAAGACACTGAGGGAGAGGGTTCTGTCCTAATGGTGGCGCTGCAGGATGATGAATATTTTTTAAAAAGCCATTTGCAATCCTGCATTTGAAACCAGACTGTATTTGTGTTTTTGTAAGCACTAAACAAAATTAATTCGGACAACAAAACCCCCAAACACACACGCATCCCCTGTACACACGCATTCCCTACATACACGTATCCTTACACACACGCATCCCCTTAACAAACATGCAACTGCCACCACCTCCCCTCCCCCCACAAACACACGAACTTCAAGTGGCTTTCTTTGAAATTTAAGTTTGAGTAAATATGTAACTGGAAGGAATATGTTGTTTCAGAGTGTGACTACGGCCATTGGGGCCTCAACTGTTCCAACTCGTGCAGCGATCTGTGTTTGAATGGCTCTTGTAACCACGTGACTGGTCAGTGTGACCTAGGCTGTGTTCCTGGATACCAGTCGCCAAACTGCGATGAAGGTAATGAAATAAAACAACTTCATATTTTCATTTACTTAAAGCGCAGGTGCTTTGCACTGGTGTTAGGCCTTAAATGCTAAATATACGTTTTTTTTTCCTTATCAAAAGTATTTTAAATGAGTATTAATACCCGTAACCAGCTGTAATATCTTATTCATTACAATTCTAATAGAAGAAAAAAAGAACATGTTAAAAATCAATCTAAATACATGGTGACGGCTGAGTTGTCCAACGATAAATTTCTAACAACGACTCCTAACTAGGAATATAAAACTCGTTAAAATACATAGAGTATCACATTCAGTTTGTGTTTTTGTTGTTTATCTGGGTTTTTTGTTAGGTTTTTCTTTTTTCTTTTTGTTTGTTGTTGTTGTTGTGAAACGTAAGTAATTCGTTAGTACGAAACTTAATTCATTAAAAAAAAAAATTAGATTTAAAGATAAATAAATAAAAACTATCAACTTAGTACTGGCAGCACCTTGACACTTAAAAGTAGAAAAAACACACAAAAATTGATGACGTCACTTAAATTAATGATAAAATGGATCGAGCGATGTAGGTGAAGTGGAAAACTCTCAATATTTTTGTGACCGAAGATAGAAAAATTGGTTTTCTTGGTAGTTTTATATCTCTTCTTTCTTATTCACTTAACTTTAAGACTTCACACACATGACAGAAAAATATTTTTTGTTCTCTCTTCCCTGCGGCAGAATGTAGTCGTGGTTACTATGGCAACAATTGTTCTAAGACATGCCCTTCCGGTTGTTTGGACGGCGGTTGTCAACCCGTGACCGGCTCCTGTCACACCTGTACACCTGGTTACCTCGGTGACGTTTGTGACACAGGTATGACAATAAGAAACTAAATTTTGTACAAAAAAATGTTTTCGAATTAATGTTGTTCAGATGGAGGTTAGTTCGAAGCTAACTTTCTTTGATCGGAAGAAATTAAATTAAAAAAACACACAAATAAAAACTACTAAATGGCTAACGATTTTCCCTTTGTTTCATTCGCAACCAATCTTTAAAAAAACATTTTTTTTTTTTAATATTTTTTTTTGTTAAATTTTACCAAAAAAAAAAAATTGAAAAAATTTCGCTGTATAAGAAATTTCGTTTTTTTTTTTAAAAATGTATTCCTTTCAAACAAACATCCTTTGTAAATCTTTAAAAAAACATTTTTTTTTTTTAATATTTTTTTTTGTTAAATTTTACCAAAAAAAAAAAAAATTTAAAAAATTTCCCTTTATAAGAAATTTCGTTTTTTTTTTTAAAAATGTTTTCCTTTTAAAAAAAAATTTTTTTTTCTAATTTTTTTTTTTTTTTTTTTTTTTTTTTTTTTTTTTTTTTTTTTTTTTTTTTTTTTTTTTTTTTTTTTTTTTTTTTTTTTTTTTTTTTTTTTGAATTTACAATTTCCGGCGATGATGGATCTTTTTTAAGCAACGTGTTCTCTTATTGGGAGCCCATGAACGAAAACTATTTTCAATGCGTCTTAATTTTCGTAAACACCCATTTAATTATGCATGAGTCAATAGGCTTTGTAAGATTACCTTTGAGGTCATTGAATGACTTTGTGTTCGTCTTCATCAGCCTGCGCTGATGGTTACCATGGCAACAACTGCTCCCAGGCCTGCCCAGACGGCTGCTCGGATGGAGGATGTGACCATGAGACCGGATACTGCTCCGCCTGTATCACGGGACATCAGGGTGATGTGTGTGACGAAGGTACTGAGTGGGAACTAAATTTTCTTTTTCATCGAGACCAAGCTCCATCGTGTGTCATCGCGCGTGTTATATTTTCGTTATAAGCTTGTGTTAAGGCAACATTAACTTTCACTCATAATGGCAAACCTAGAGAGTTTTGGCTCAAGTTACCGGCAACTCGGGCGTTACCGGCGCGTCATGTGCTCAGGGCGCCATCAACGATCTTCCAAAAAAGGAAAACTCATTGCATGTGGGCGCCCTGGTAGAAAAATAGGAAGTGTAAAACAAAAGAAAATGCTGATCTAAAAGTTTGGGGAAGAATGTCATTATTAGGCGATGTGTTCATACTGTCAACGGTAGGCTAATTGTTCCTACTGGCCACAGTAGGCTAATTGTTCCTACTGCCCACAGTAGGCTAATTGTTCCTACTGCCCACAGTAGGCTAATTGTTCCTACTGGCCACAGTAGGCTAATTGTTCCTACTGCCCAAAGTAGGCTAATTGTTCCTACTGGCCACAGTAGGCTAATTGTTCCTACTGCCCACAGTAGGCTAATTGTTCATACTGGCCACAGTAGGCTAATTGTTCCTACTGGCCACAGTAGGCTAATTGTTCATACTGCCAACAGTAGGATAATTGTTCCTACTGGCCACAGTAGGCTAATTGTTCCTACTACCCACAGTAGGCTAATTGTTCCTACTGCCCACAGTAGGCTAATTGTTCCTACTGGCCACAGTAGGCTAATTGTTCCTACTGCCCACAGTAGGCTAATTGTTCCTACTGGCCACAGTAGGCTAATTGTTCATACTTCCCACAGTAGGCTAATTCTTCATACTGCCCACAGTAGGATAATTGTTCATACTGCTCACAGTAGGCTAATTGTTCATACTGCTCACAGTAGGCTAATTTTTCTTACTGTGAAATTTCACATTAGGAAAAACAATGTCCCTGTTCATTTGTTCATTTAAAAAAAAAATACCTAGGTAACAAACACATTAACTGATTCCGAATTTTTTTCCTTGCACAAATTTGTATGATTATACTTAAAACGGGTGCCAAAGTTAAGCTGGCCCAGGGCGCTAATACCATAGAACATCAGTTTTGATCCCTTGTTAAATAAAGTCACATTCTGGTTGGCATGATGTTGAAACGTCCCATAGAACCGTGTCCACCGCTTATGTTGTTATGGACATGGCTACGGGCAGTGACGTTCAGAGGTCGAGCACAGATTTATTCTAGGCTTAATGAAAAAATATTGTAATAAAAATAATAAAAAACATAAGTAAGAAAATGCCTCCCCCCCCCCTTTCTTATAATGTAAAAAAAGTGCGGAGCCCACACTTCTTTCGAACGTTTTGGCTGTGTTTTAAATTCACCCTTAGCCATGTCACAGAGACCCATTCTGTCACTTAGCCATGTCACGGAGACCCATTCTGTCACTTAGCCATGTCACCGTGACTCTCTCTGTCACTTAGCCATATAACCGAGACTCATTATGTTACTTAGCCATGTCACTGAGATACACTCGGTCACCTAGCCAGGCCACCGAGACACACCCTGTCCCTTAGCCATGTCACCGAGACTCCTTCTGTCACTTAGCTATGTCACCGAGAGACTCACTATGTCCCTTAGCCATGTCACCGAGACACACTCTGTCCCTTAGCCATGTCACTGAGACTCACTTGGGCATTACGACACTTTCTAATTTAAAGAAAAGCAGAGGAATTATCGGGGAGAGGGGGGTTAAACCTAGGTGGCATGGGGCAACACCAACATTTATTACGGCGTAAATGCGGTCCAAATATAGAGTGACCTTTTTTTTTTTTTTTTTTTTTTTTTGAGTTTTTTTTTTTTTTTTTTTTTTTTTACGAGTATTTCTTAAGGTGTAGAGGCATTGGAAATAAATAGTTCATTTATTTTTTAAAAACTTAAAATATGTCCTATCTCTACAACACACAATTCAACATCATTTCTAAGACACGACTTTGACACCAATCGGACCTCTTTGACACATCTTTGACATAAATTTGTAAAAGTTTAAACACTCATAGAATATTAATATTAGTATGAAGTTGTCCGACAGCATTTTTTTTAAATTGCAGAATGTTACAAAGGTTACTATGGAACCAACTGCTCCCAGCTTTGTTCGGTCGGGTGCACGCGAGAAGAGTGTGACCACAAGACCGGTCACTGCTTCAGCTGTGTTCCCGGTTACCAAGGCGACACGTGTAACACGGGTAAGTTTGTTTCTTTATGTGGTCATCCGGGTGATCCAATCGGCCAGCTCACATTTTAATTTGGCCTGTACTTATTGTGTATCGAATGCATGTTTTGTTTGGTTGTTTATATAACATGACTTCTTTAAAGCAAGAGTACTTTAACCAGGACGCGGGGGTCAATGGTGGGAGAAAGAACCAGAAAATCAGATTTAGTTGCATTTTTTAACATTAAGCTGCAGCAGATTGTTTATGGTGAAATGTGTTGTTGCTTTATTTGTTCTAGTGCATTGAGTTTTTACGTAGTGTTAATTAAAGAAGGAACTATGAAACATGGCATAACCATTAGATCACGACCAATGCCTCTTTTTAACATTCAACTTGTTGGAACCATTCTGGGTTGGAAAAACTGTTAAGACTTAAGACGCCGCCGTCATTTCAATTTCAGAATGCGACCACAGCCGGTGGGGCATCAACTGCTCAAACTCGTGCCACGCGCTGTGCTCGAACCGCTCTTGTGATCACGTGACTGGTCAGTGTGTTGACGGCTGTGAACCGGGATACCAGTCATCGAACTGTACCGAAGGTGAGAGATTAAATGAAAATAATACGTCAATTATATCCAAATAGTGGAAACGTCGCTTATATATGTAAATGGCACCATTTTTTTTTTACCCAACATTTCTGAATTGTTTATTTCTTTTAGGGATGTCGCACCATACCGACCAACTCAACAAACTTAGACCAACGGACCCAATTATAACTAATAAACATTGAAATTTTCCAAATATATTTTTCTGTAATTTTGTAGATCAGGCGGGAGAGGACAATCGAGAAAGAGATCGTGTTAGTACATAAATAAATAAATATTTGGCTGGGTGGATTGATGAATGGATGGATGGATGGATGAAAGGAAGTATGGACGGATGGATAGGAATGTTCCCTTCAAGCTGCGCGGCTGCGCAGTTAACTCACAGATTCCGCGCAGCAGTTTTGAGTATCCGAGCAGCAAATTTCCATGTAAATGTGTGTTTGTGGGCTATACAATTTTGCACACACAAAAAATTGATGCTGTAAAACTTTGCACACAATTGTATGATTTTGCACACGAACCAGCAAACCTTGGAGGGAACATTGATGAATAGATATATAGACCGATTGATAGATAAACAGACAGATTAACGGATTGAAAGATTGACAGATAAAAATATAGATTATATTGAAAGATACTTAGATATATTGATAGAGAGGCGGACGACGGATGGGTGGATGGATGGAAAATAGTCTATTTTGGAAAGAGAATGGGCCACATCATCACGTTTTGCTCTTTTAAAAAGAAAACACAGTGCACAGAATACAAAGCTAATTAAGCAGATTGACCTGAGGTCAGATTGAATGCAAGAAATACAACCAGACACCAAAAAGGGAGATAAAAGAAGCCACTTCCAGGGACAAGCTACTCACGGAAATGTGGACATGCCGCCTATATTATGTTGGTTTGTTAATCTTTCTTTATCAGCTTGCGGTTTTGGTTACCATGGCAACAACTGCTCCCTGGCCTGCCCCGACGGCTGCTCGAGCGCGGGATGTCACCCTGTCACGGGCCATTGTCTGAGTTGTGGTCCTGGTCGACAAGGAGACCACTGTGCCGAAGGTGAGTTGGAGACTTTGACGATTTCCGAAAGATGTGTGTTTGGATGATCCTCGTTTTAGAGTGGGTCACTTTAACTTATTGAGGTTTCCAAAATATCTTTAACAAAATTAATTAAATCATATATATAAATTTCAATTTTTTCTTCTTAAAATAGGAATTGCGATTTGTGTACCGTTGAGATTATATAAAAACTGTTAGTTATAAGAGATGTTTCTACATTAATATGGGGGTTGAATGTCCAATTAGCATACATTCTTTAACCCTATTTAGAGAATTTTATTTTTTGTAACCTTTTACAGTAAACTTTTATTGGTTGCTCTCTTCTTTGATAGCTTTCATGTATACTTTTCTTAATGTTTCTTTTTTTTTACATAGCTTGTGACTTTGGAAAGTGGGGTCAGAACTGTTGTCAGTCATGTGACACGAAGTGTTTAAACAACTCGTGTGACCACGTGACTGGTCAGTGTGACCAGGGTTGTGTGGCTGGTTACCAGACGCCGTATTGTACTGAAGGTAATCCATCACTTTTGTTTCTTTACTAAAATCCACACACCGAGAACTAAACTATTTTATAAAAAAGAAGACGATGCATGCGCACAATGGTGCGCAATATGGGGTGTTATTGACACAGTGACACAGTTTAATCACAAGAAGATACCTTTTTCACCTGGGTCGCACCTAAAAATGAAGTGCAATTTTAGTGCTCGAGACAAGTAATCTGATAATAGTGCACTTAATTCAAAAGTTAATGAAGCAGTTTGGGGTTAGTAAAGGCGGAGATTAATTTTGAACCGAAATCCATGAGCATGAACGATGCTATGAGAAAATACGATGCACTTCAGAGGGTCCCGCTGCTTCCTTCTGCGGAAATGTGAATTTACGCCGTATTAAAAAAAAAAAAAAAGTATTTTTGAATGCCCTTTTTTCATCTTTATCAGCATGCCTTCATGGTTACCATGGCAACAACTGCTCTCAGGTCTGCCCCGATGTCTGCTCAAGTGAAGGATGTCACCCTGTCTCTGGCTACTGTCTCACCTGTATCCCTGGGCATCAAGGCGATCTCTGTCATGAGGGTAAGTTTGGCGACATTGGCGCTGCTAAGAAATGATGTCATCGATCGTTGTTTTTTTAAAGTGGGCCACTCTTTCTGATGTGCCAAATTTTCGAAACAGTTTAAACCTATTTAAACAAAATACTATGGTCGTAAATAAGATTCAATTTTTTTTTTTTTTTTTTTTTTTTTTTTTTTTAAAATTTTTATTTTTTTTTTTCTTTTAATAAATGTTTTTTTAAAGTGGGCCACTCTTTCCGATGTGCCAAATTTTCGAAACAGTTTAAACCTATTTAAACGAAACACTATGGTCGTTAATCAGAGTCAATATTTTTTTTTTTTTGTTTATTTGCTTTAAAATTATTATTTTTTCTTTTCTTTTAAGAAGGCATGCGCTATTTTTATACTTCAAAAACAAAATTGATGAATTTGTCATTAAATATAACTGAGGAAAGGAGTTCGATAGTTCCAAAATTAAAATAAATGGTCTGTGGTAGGGGTATCCCAAGGTTTTGTTAGCTACATGCAGATGATTTGCCTAATTTATTAACTTTAAAAAGTCAAGTCGCTGAAAATGTTTCCAGGGTCAGGCATCTCTCTCTCACTCTCTCTCTCTCACTCTCTCTCTCTCTCTTTCGAGGGGGGGGGGAAGTCAAGTGACCCCTCTCCGGGAGCAAATTGGGTATAAACAATGGAACGATTATATATTTTTAAAATAAAAAAACGAAAAATTGTCATTTTTAAACAGTTTCAGGAAGAATAGTAACTGGTGGCTTTATCCGATTACGATTAATGGAATCTATTAAATATCGCTACACTCAATAGATTGATGATCCGTATATTTAAAGCTAATCTTGTATTAGGCTAATAGTATTCGATTAAAAATATCGTACTGTTCGCTTTTTATTTTGAGCCGAATTCTTACTTCCCATTGTCCACAATCGGTATTTTTAAAAATGTTTCTATTTATTTTTTTTATTTTTTTATTTTGTTCGAAATTCACACATTTAACGACTTTAATAACACTACAATAAAGTACCTTTACATCAAGACCAAGGAGTACAATTCTAAGAATATTTCTCGCCAAGCATCAAACATACACAGTCTATGTTTTAATCATATTTCCTTATAAACCTTTACTTTTAAAGTAGGGATAGGTGTTAATTATAAATTGTATGATGATATTAGCCTTTAAAAAAATATTTTGATTGGCATATCTATAAATCTTTTCGATGCCATGAATGTTGAATTACAAGAAATGAATACTTTAAAAATTTAGAGCTATTTTGTTTTTAATTGAGAATTCAACGGGCGCATACAAATAGTGGCACTTTCAGCAATTATTATATTGAAAAGTTTATTTTTTCTTTAAAAGTGCTACGTTTATAACCAAGTTTCCTGAATAACAGAGGTTTAAACAAATAGTTAACCAATGTTTATTAAATTCCCACCTGCTTTTATATTTTTAATATTAGAATAAAAACAAACTGCCCCCCATCTGTTTGAAAGGATTATTTTTAAAAATAATGTTTTTTCAAGATCAAAAACGATAAGAAAGCTGAAATAATGAGGATGAACTGGCATTTCGATTATCATGCGAATTCCATTTTTTTTGTGTTGATACTTTTTTTTTTACAATAAATTCTTTTTCTTAATTTGTTAATTTAAAATAAATTCTGTTGATTTTGGGGGAAATTATTTAAAGTAGATCTAATTTGCAATGTTCAATTTATCTGAAAAAAGTTATAGTAGATTGTAACACATCTACTCTGACATGGCGTGGGATCTTATTTCTTATGCTGTGGGTTATGTCAGTAGTATGGTTACTTATGTTAATACTTCAGGATGCCGACTAAGTCTTCTTCATTCTTTCACTTATTATCCAGGCACGTAAAGAAGAATACTCAATTCTGGTTAAAACTCACAGTACTTTATTGAACACACTTTATACTGATAATATTAATGATAATCCTTGCATGAATGTAATTTCACATATATATAGAGTATTATTCCATCATTCAGAAAGACACGTCCTCACACTACTATAACTCAGCTCAACTGTCTAATCACACAGCTCTCCTAGCTCTACTGTTCTCTACTGCTCTGCGCTCAGCTCTCCCTATATCAGTCAACTCATACTTTATTACCAGCAAAGCGTGGAAAACAACCGCTCTGACAAAAACATAATTTTACTCTCCAAAAACGTGGAGCTCACATTGTCCTCTAAAAATACAATTCATTGTCCTCGTGGACAAAACATGGTCAACAACATTCACTGTTCACTCATGCTACCTCTCTGTTTTCATGTGAAAACATTGCCCGTTACATAGATTATTCAAGATGAAAAAAAAATTCAATCAACTGAAAATTGGGAACTATTTTATAAACAACTTATTTCTTCCTTGCATGACAATGCTGTTTATATACGATTTTTAAAAAAAAAACTATTAGTTTAGATAACCCATAAAATGCATTGACTTTTCTATTGAACGATTTTTTGATTTCTCTTGTTTTTGATTATGGTAAAACTTGGAAATATTTAGCAAGGTTAATTAGTTCATGTAGGCTGACTATTATAAGACCTTTATTTCATTTGTGTTTAGCTTATAAATTGATGTTAGCGGTGCTTTTGTTAAGACACATTTTTCTAAAATTCATTTATTAACTAATGTAGATATCACCAAAAAGGTTTAAATTTTTAAAAAAAATGAAAGCCACATACTATTTAATAATATAAACATTTTTTTTTGCATAACACAACTATGAAAAGCGGAGTTGTCACAAAACATTTCGTGTGCCCTTTTGCCACTTTTTTCTTTTGTCATCTACCATCTTGCATTGAAAGATTATTAATAAGGCAACATCCACATCACATCTAAAAACCTTAAAATATCTGAGGCTCACTGCAGTTGTTAGGATTGCTGAGGTTAAAAGATGTTTCTAATGTTAAGTGACACATACAATTTTTAAACTAGCATTTCTTCCGTTTCTCTCCCAGTGTAGAATGTTGCAAAACTTAATTTGAAATATTTACTAAAATGTATAATAAAACACTGAATACAGGTATAATCCAAAATGCACTTTTTGATTTTATAATCAGCCAAATCTTCTGGTAAGGGCTCGCCAGACCCCCACCTTTCAATCAAGAGGAAAAGTACCCTCAATTTCTGCCCTTCTTCCCTAAAAGTGTTAAAATACTTTTGGCGCTGTTCATAGTTTTTGTTAATGATATATTCACTACCTAATGAAGTAGCTAGTGTTAGAGCTGATAGATAACACTAATTATTGGAGTAGCTTGTGTTAGTGCTGATAGATACACAGCCTAGCGGAGTAGCTAGCATTAGTGCTGATAGATACACTACCTAGTGGAGTAACCAATGTTATTGCTACCCTAGACTGGCAAAGACGTATGCCACGTTCCCATTAACGATACAAACTCTGCATTTGTCATAAAATCCTTCCCCTCCATATGAAGAGTAAATTTTCAAATGCTGTTATCTCCATTTTTGGTGTTTTGAGATAATCGACTTTTTCTGCTACACAATGATGGCTCAAATTTTCGGAAAAGTATATGTTAATTTAGGTATATATTCAAAATATAAGTTAGATTATGATGAAAATTGAAGTGGAGTTGGATTAAAATGTATTTCTTTGCTTGGTTGATTTTCTTATTTCGTTTCAAAATGTTGTGTATCCAGTTGTAACTTAGCGACAAAATGCTGTATATCCATTTTGATAGCAGAACATTACTCCCAGTAGCAAATAATTCAAGTTGTTTATAGGTTACAAACCACTAACATAACAAAATAAAATTAAATTGTATCATATAGATTATATAATTGTGTATGATTAAGTTTTTTATTGATATATTTCAACAGAACATGCTGGGAAGTCGCTTGTAATAGTATAATGTTTAGAGTGCTATAGGTTTGCATGATTTGTTTTTATAAATCTGAATTCTAAACAAAAGTAAACAAGATACTGTTCAATTAAAAAATCATTTTATTTGAAATTAGAACAACGATGCAATAGAAAATATTGAAGTGTCTGATTCAGAGTGTGCATTATCTTTAATATCAGTATTGCTTTGTTCCAGGAAAAGTTGATGGTTCTTATTTATTACATTCAAATCAGAGGGCAAATATTTCTGTCCTTGAGCATGCTTTCTTCTGTAATGGCTTGATCTGCATGTAAAAGATTGAATGTGTAATAAATAGCATAGCTAACTCTGTAAAGCAACTTTCTATTTTCATTTCCTGAACACTTCTGATGTGAAGTAACCATAACAATTATAATAATAATGTAAACAACTTTTTATTTTCATTTCCTTAACACTTCTGATGTGAAGTAACCATAACAATTATAATAATAATGTAAACAACTTTTTATTTTCATTTCCTGAACACTTCTGATGTGAAGTAACCATAACAATTATAATAATAATGTAAACAACTTTCTATTTTCATTTCCTGAACACTTCTGATGTGAAGTAACCATAACAATTATAATAATAATGTAAACAACTTTCTATTTTCATTTCCTGAACACTTCTGATGTGAAGTAACCATAACAATTATAATAATAATGTAAACAACTTTTTTTTTTTAATAAAGTTACCGGTAAGTCACCATTGCAGAACCATTTCTCGTGATTACACGTCACCGAGGGGAGCTTTCCTCTTGCTGGAATGACGAAATAATTTTTCTTTTTCTTTTGTTGAGCTTTTTTTCTTTCTTTTTCGAGATTTTATAATACAAACAACTCTTTCACCCAGGCCGTTGTTATGCACCGTGTTTGTTGTTGTTTCGCGTCGTGGTGTTTACTGCGCATGCGCAGAAAGCCGCAGAATAGCTTGCCAATCACATGGATTGGTCTGAAAATATATACAGCATTTTGATAATAATAAAAAAAATTCACACCAAATTTTGAAAATAAATTCATTTTTAGATATAGAATAATATAGGATTAAAAAATGTTATGTAGATAAACTTTAACATGTCCTAAAGGAGCCGGGTTTGCTCCACAAGAATATACAGTTATCTCATTTTTTTTTTCGAAAATGGCGGATACCGCGTTTTGAAAATGGACTCTTCATATATAGAAAATTGACATTATATCTGACAACCCAAACCGCCCCACTTGCAGAGGCGTACCTACAGTGTTTAGCGCCGATGGACATAGATTCTATTTCACCTAGGGACATTTTTTGGAAAGAAACACAGGTTTCTTCGTCTAGAATTAAGTTTACTTCCGTTTAAGGCCATCTACGTTTCTTTGATAACTAAAGAATACCTAAAGTAGCCTAATGATTCTTCTTTTCAGAATGCGATTTTGGTCAGTGGGGTCAGAACTGTAGTCAGTCATGTGACATGAAGTGTTTAAACAAATCTTGTGACCATGTGACAGGGCAATGTGACAAGGGCTGTGTGGCCGGCTACCGCTCACCGAATTGTACTGAAGGTAAGACATCATTTTCTTTTTCTTTTTTTCTTTCAAACCTGCACACACCGGTAATTTCTTGCAAAAGTTGTGGCGGACAGTGGTTCTCAACATTGGGTTTTATGGACATGGTACGTTACTAGAGAATATTTTTCTTTTTTTTGTGGGGGGGGGGGGAGGGGGAGAGAGCGATGATGAACCTAAAAATAATATGAAGTGGCAAAACTTGTGAAATGCGATGTAAAATTATTTGGCACACAGACATCATTTGGAATGACACTACTTAGAAAGCTACTGATAAAGACATTACCAATAAGTTCGTAGAGTAGAATGCTACAAAGGTATTTGTATCCAATTATTACAGCTTCCAATTACAATTATTCGCAGAATGCCCAGATGGTTACTATGACAAGAACTGCTCTTCAACGTGCCCGGAGATGTGTTACGATCGTGACTGTGACCCCGTGACCGGTCACTGCATAACCTGTGTTCCTGGTTACCAAGGTGATTTCTGTAATTTTGGTAAGTTTAAATATTAATTTTTTTAAGGTGTAAAATAAAGTGTTTAAATAGTAGCTAAAATGGTCATAAATGGAAGTGCTTAAATGTTGTTTAAAATTGTCATAACTAGAAGTGTTCAACTGGCGGCTGAAATGGTCATAACTAGAAGTGTTTAAATGTTGGCTGAAATGGTAAATTCGAAGTCTTTAAATGGTGACTGAAATGGTCATAACTAGAAGTGTTTAAATGCTGGCTAAAATGTTCATTACTAGAAGGATTTAAATGGTGGTTGAAATGGTCATAAAGAGAAGTGTTTAAATGGTGGCTGAAATGGTCATAATTAGAAGTGTTTAAATCAGGGGTCTCAAACTCGCGGCCCGCGGGCCATTTGCGGCCCGCAAAAGGTTATTTTGCGGCCCCCTAGAGCACAGAAAACTTTAGTGTTAATGCAGCCCGCACGTTTGCTCAATTCTCATATCTACATCGCGACAGTTTTAGTCGACTCTCACATATGATTGTCATTCTTATTTATTATGTTTGTATAGGTTTGGGCCTTGATTTTAATGGCAAAAACCGTTTTAAAATCGGACTTATTTAAGTTTTATTTATAGCATTTTATGAGAAAAACATGGTGAAGTGCGGTTATGAGAAAAGTTTAAAAAGTTAGTTAGCTTGTAATTTACAACAATAATTGTGTAAATTGCTGCAATCTGGCACATTATCAAAGAATCCCTATTAATATTGTAGCTAGTGTGCACGAGTGAAGGAAATTCCGAGGCTTTCAGCTTAGTCACTTTTGAAATAGGGTTAGTCAAAAAGGCCTTTACTACAATAAAAAAATCCACATTCATTCCCCCTGAAATTGCATCTTCCTTCGCATCAACAATTCATAAATATTGACTGCTCTTGCCTACTGTTTAAACACATTTTAGCATTTAAAGCTTTCATTAAGATGGATGAAGTGTTTTTTCTTGTCATAAGTAATCCCAAATGGCTCATGGACTTGGCTTTTTTTGTTGGAATTACTCAGAAGCTGAATATCCTCAACAAGAAGTAACAAGACCAGGGGTAGCTTGTTAGTTTTGCCAATAACAATGTTAGGGCATTCTGCACAAAACTTGTGTTATGGTTCTTAAAGAAACATCTTCCATTTCCCAACATGCAGAGTACTCATGGACTCGGGTATACCATTCAGATGTAAGTATAATGATGCCTTTGCAAAGCTACAGGAAGAATGTGATCGCATGTTTTAAGACTTCAAAAAAACCACAGAGTCACTTTTCAACTTTTTGCTGACTTTTTCTCATTAACGTGGAAGATGCCCCCACCCCCCTTTTTTAAAATGCGCTTCAGATGTAGCTGATTGATCTTTAGTGTTATTCTGAACTCAAGGCTAAATTCAGGGAGGTGAATAGAAAAACAGACAAGCGTGAAAAATTTATGAGAACATTGTTCTCCACCTTTCCTGAGATTTCCAGGTTGTTCAAGCGGATTAAATGCCTTTTTTCGAGTACCTATCTGCGTGATTAGCTCTTTTCCACCATGAACTTTAACATGCCAAAGTTCAGGGCCAAACTTACTGATGAGCATTTTCAAGGTATTCTGAGGGTCTCATTTGCTTCCGCACTCAAGCCAAATGTTGCTTACCTGTGTAAGAAGAAGCTCTGCCAGGTCTCTGGCAACAAGGATTTGGAGGAAGAAAATGAAGCGTAGTTCTTGAGAACACTTAATGTTTTATTTTCTATTAATAAAGGTTGAGCGAATTGTAACGGTTTTACTTTATTGAATTTGTAATCGCATTTTTTGTGAGAAATACTTGGTGCGGCCAGCCTCACTTAGATTTTACCTCTTGCGGCCCCCATATAGTTCGAGTTTGAGACTCTTGGTCCAAATAGTCTCTGAAATGGTCATAACTAGAAATGTTTTAATGGTTGCTGAAATGGTCATAACTAGAAGTGTTTAAGTGGTGGCTGAAATGGTAATAACTTTACATGTTTAAATACTCTCTGAAATCGTCAGAGCTAGAAATTTGTAAATAGTGGCTGAATGGTCATAATTAGAAGTGTTTAAATGTCGCTGAAATGGTCGTAACTATAAGAGTTTAATAGGTGGCTGAAGTGGTCAAATGGTGGCTGAAATGGTCATGAATAGAAGTGATTATAATGTGTTTGAAATGGTCATAACTGGAAGTGTTTAAAAAGCAACTGAAATGGTCATAAATAGAAGTGTTTATATGGTTGCTGAAATGGTCATAACTAGAAGTGTTTAAATGGTAGCTTAAACGGCCATAAATAGAAGATTTCAAATGCTCGCTGAAATGGTCTTAACTTTCAAAAAAACGTGCCGGGAACCATGGTGTATCATAAGACCAGAAAATTCAACCATTTTAATTTTAATATACAACAATTTTGAGTTAAATTGGAAAAATTTAGTTGTTCCTTTTAACAATGTTTTTCATCTTTTATTTGGGAGTCTTTACAGTGGTAACATATTGGGTATCCCGACAAAGGAGAAATTTGAGTGTGTCCTCATAATGGGCACATGTTAGGGTTTTACATCAAAGAAGACATTGTAAGGTGTCCTTAAAGTGTTTCCATCGTCCTGATAGCTTCACTCCCATGAGAGAGAGAAAGAGATAGAAAGTGTGAGAGAGAAAGTGAGAGAGATGCAGAGAGTTATAGAGACAGAAATAGAGAGAGAAGGAGAAATGAAAAAAAAATGAGAGAGAAAAAAGATGATGGGCAAGAAAGAGGGATAAAAAGAGAGAGAGAGAGAACTGGAGAAAGATAAAGAGAGAGATAAAAAGAGAGGTAGAGAGTAAGAAAGTGAGAGAGAAAGAGTGAGAACGAGAGTGAGAGAGAAAGAAAGAGAGAAAGAAGGATACATAGAGAGAGAGAGAGAGAAATGGAGAGAGAGGGAATATTGTGTGTTTAAATTACTTTTTATTTTTACTTTCAGCATGTGACCACGGTCAGTGGGGACTCAACTGTTTCAACTCCTGTCATACTCTCTGTATGAATAAATCCTGTCATCACGTCACTGGTCATTGTGACAGTGTTTGTGAGTCTGACAACCCGTCATCCAACTGTACGCAAGGTAAGAAAAAATGAAAATTATTACCGAAAGGGACTTTTGTATTTTTACTAATTGCAACATAAGAAATACTGCTACCAACAGTGGAGGTTCCTATTCAACAGTCAGATGGTGTCAAGGGTATTTACTGTTCATCAAAACACTTCATAGAGTAAATAAAAGAGATTCAAAACTCAGCTAGGTTAGTTTTAAAGTTTAAAAAAAAAAACGTGAGCACGTCAATCCACTACTCCACTCACTTCATTGGTTCCTTTAAAAACACGTATAGACTACAAAATCTCTGTTCTCTGCCACAAATTTTTCTCGGATTCCTGCCCTGCCTATCTCAGCGACCTTCTTTCTGTCTATGCAACCCTTCGACAGCTTCATTTCTCCGCAGACACGCGTATTCTTTCAGATCCTAAGACACGCACTAAAACATACAGGAAATGATCTTTCTCTTTCTGCGCCCCTAAAGTATGGAATTCTGTCCCACAATCCATCCGCAATATACCAACCCCCCAAGCCTTCAAAACTGCTGTCAACACCCAGCTCTTCAAACTCTAATATCCGGACTGATTCCCACCCCATCTGACCAATAAACGATGCTTCTGGCTGCCATCCATGGCATGACATGTCAATAGTTCTCGGATGGGCGGGTCTAAATATATATGTACATTTTAGTTTTTACACAGCCGTATGTAATTTTTTAATGTTATGATTATGTTTGCTAATATTTATATGTGCAGAGCAGTGAGTCCAGCCGTAGGCTGTGGTTCCGCGCTATTCAATACCACTGTAATAATAATAATGTATCCAACCATCTTTTCTTTCACAGTCCAAAAATCCACCAATGAACTTTTGAAAACCGGAAGCACGGGTGCGACCATTGGTATAAGCTTGACCTCCGTGACCTTAGCGGTCGCCCTCCTCGCCGCCATTGTCGTTTTCGCGTACAGAAGAAAACGGAAGACGATCCGGTCGGATATTTCGACCACTGAGCCGTGTCCGAATGTCCTCTTCATGGACGGCGCCACGGATGTGTCAGGCGAGATGACGGCCTCAGACAGACGGCCGCTGGTTGATCAGCAAAATCAAATGTTCTTATAGTTGTTTACTGAGGTTATTCGTGTGATCAAATTCAAAGGATCTAATCATTTCGTGTGTTCAGTTTGTTTTTTTGTTGTGTTTTGTTGTTGTTGTTGTTTTTTTAGTCAGTAATCTCATAAATCCCCATAAACATATAAATACATGTTTAAACTCTATCGATCTTAATAAATTTTAATTTTGTTAAACCATCAGCCATTACTAAGACATCATAAATGTCGCTTTTATATTTACTCAAATGCCAATATCACTACCATGCATTCCGGTTTTGTGTTAGCTCATATACCTTTATCACCATAAAAAATTAACTTACATTCTATTTTTCTTCTCACCATCAATATGATGAATTCAATTTATTTTTTTTTAAAAATATATTTATTCAAAGTATAAACATTGTAAATAACTTTTATTTTATGTCACGTGCCAAATTATTACCATTATTAAGTCTTATTTTCGCACTAAGTTAGTTGTACAAATAATGAAAGTATCAATTCACCATTACTCGAGCATGTTGCATCAACCGCTTGTGATACGAATTACTTTTGTAGCTCAAACGAATGTTTTAGCTAGGAGTATTTTTTTTTTTACAAATATATCTCCAAATACAATAAAAATATATCTAACAATAACGCATTTTAATGGGCGATGGAAACAAAAATTGGTATTATTGTTTATGAAATTTTAAACTTAATTAAGAGAGTAACGTCCGTGCGCATAAATGTTATTCTTTTAAAGATAACATTTCGACACATATGGACCTAACTTTCTTTTCTTTCTTTTTTTTTTTTAAAATGAAATCAATTTTTTTTTTAAAATTTATTTATCAACCTACTTTTAAGCACACAAGAAACGCGTGAGTTTCTACAACTACAAGAGACCTTGACCTATAACTTTTAATCAGCCGTCCCTGCGAGTCACACAGGTCAATGTGTTGTGATTTCTTTACTGCAATTTGAGTTTGATAACTTTTGAAACACGTTTTGACTCGACTATAAAGTGGATTGGTGCCGGAATTTTCCAAAACTTGGGTCCAGGGAACTTTCACCTAAAAACAAATAAATTACAAAACATCTTTTGTTAACCAATCAAACATCGGGTGATGGAACTATTAAGATATTAACACAACGTGTATTTGTGTGCTTTGTCGTTTACTCCCCCTTGATGTGAAAGGGAGAAAATAATATTTTTTTTAAGACAGATTGTTTCATTTAATTTATTCACAATGAGAATACAACTTATTCTTTAAAAAAAAATATTAATGTTTACTTTGAAAATAAAAGACTAAATAAATTGTATGTAAACAAATAATTTCTTCTTTTTGTAAAGTGTTCTTTTCAGAGTTTGGAGATATAAAAATTTTTAAACGTATTTAAGTTTCTGATGGTGAAACTAATGTATACATACTTTAACTACAATTCAAGTGGGTCCCGAAAATTCAGAACGCTGGTCCAAATTATATAGGGACTCTTAAAAGAAAGTCTACAATCAGCAAATGGACAATGAATTGAAAACTCTGTGATTCATGTGTTAGAATATATATATGGATATAATATATATATATATATATATATATATATATATATATATATATATAAAGTTTAATTAAATTCACTTAAGACATCGCAGTAAATTGTAATACACCGGATAGAGTTTAAATAGAAACTAAATTAATAAAAAATTTGCTACGTTGGCTTTATACTGTATAAACCAAATACATAATTTTAAGTTGCTGCCATGACTTTTCCTGTTTTGGTTTTTTAAATTTTATAATTTTATGTCAAATCACTTCTTGTCGATTATCCCTTACTTTGGTGTTTTCTGGGTTTTGCGCCAATTCCGGTTCTTTTGTCCCCTCATTTTGGTAGGATACATGTATGTATATGTATATNGTTGTTATACTGCTGAAGTCACTTGCCGAAACGTTTACTTGTGTTTCATGAAATTTTTTTTATTAAGGCTAAACATATATTGTTTTGTTGACACAAATTGTTCGTGTCTGATTAATTAATTAAAAAAAAAAAAAGAAATGGCATGATAATCGAAATTGTTTTGATTTTTTTTTAAATGTACAATCATGTCTGATGTATGGTAATGGAAAACGCAAATGCACATAGCGGATTTGAAAAGACATTTTAATTAGCGTGCGATTATATCTGCTTGTCTCTTTGTCGGGTTAACCCATTGATTTTCTACCAGTTCACTGCGTCCATGTACTTGAAATTTTGGATTGCTTTTTTTTTTATCCCAAAAATAATATCCCAATTCTTGACCCTTGAGTATGGATAGTGCTTAAACTAAGAAGGTAAGTTTAGACCCATTCCCTAAACTGAGATGAAAATGTGTACACACGCAAATGCAAGCATGCACGTATTCACGTTGATCTATACTAATAAAAGGCAAAGCCCCTCACTGACTGACTGACTCATCATTAATTCTCCAACTTGCCCAGTAGATAGCAGCCAGAAAATTGGCATGCTTATTCCTTACAGCTCATAAACAAAAATCAAATATGTTTCATTTCAAAACTCTGTACCGTTAGGGGCGGGGGCCCAAAATGTCGTTTGTTTCCAATGTGAGCTATATAAATAAAATAATCAACATATAATGCTACATGAATCGATGGATCTTGACCAAACTTAATACACGCATACTCTTGATTATCCATATATCAGTACCGAACGGTAGTTAACGCATAATATTCATATCTCTGGGAGCGGGGGCCCATTTCACTTTTCCTTATATAAGCCTTATAAATATCAATATGCTTATTATTCCGAAATCAATAGATAGATCTTGACCAAACTTAGTACACATACTCTTGATTATCAAAATTCAAACACTTAAGGGTAATAAACTCATAATATACCTGTCTTTAGGGCCGGGGGCCCCATTTCATTTTTTCTTATCTATACTAATAAAAGGCTAAGCCCTCACTGACTCATCACTAATTCTCCAACTTCCCCTGTAGATAGAAGCCTTAACTTTAGCAGACTTTTTCCCTACGGCTTACTTACAAGAGTTAAGAAGGTTTTTTTTTTTGAAACTCTACCCAGAACTGTCACAACAAGGGGCCCCGAATTTTGATTTTTTTTCCTATACGATATATATATATATATAAATAAAATTAGCAACAAATACTGCTACATGAATCGATGGATCTCGACCAAACTTAAATTACATACATTTGATAAACCATGTTCAAATACCGAAGGGTACTTAACACATAATATGCATCCCTCTGGGGCCCGGGCCCCTTTTCATTTTTCCTTACATAAGCTAGATAAATAGCAATAGGCTTAGTGCTCCTATATGAATAGATGGATCTTGACCAAACTTACTACACATACTCTTGATTATTCATATTCAAATACAGAAGGGTACATAACTCATGATATTCTTACCTCTGGGGACATGGGCCTATTTATTATTCATTTTATGACCTATTGTTTGAACCATTGCAGTTAGCATACAGGGCGCATCACTCTACTGAGACAGCAATGTTGCGCGTCGTAAACGACCTTCTGTCGTCTTGTGATGAAGGCCCGGTAACGATTTTGTCTTTACTCGATTTATCGGCATCTTTCGATACGCTCGACCACGGCATACTGCTCCAGCGTCTGCAACAAACGTTTGGTCTGACTGATACCGTCCTGTGTTGGTTCCGATAGTATCTGACTAATCGGGTGCAGTCAGTTATTTCAAACGGCTTGATCTCGAAGAAATCTAATATCGAATTCGGAGTACCCCAGGGCTCGGTCCTAGGCCCGGTGCTTTTTACGATGTACATTCAGCCCCTAGGTGCAGAGATCAGGCAGTTTGACATGTTGTATCACATGTTCGCGGACGATACACAACTTCATCAATCCGTGATCCCTTCTCAGTTCCCTCAGCTGCTCAGTATGACACAGAAGACAATGGAGTCGGTTAAGCACTGGATGACCATAAACAAGCTCAAATTGAATGATGATAAGACTGAGCTGCTCCCCATCGCAACCGCTCAGAAGCAAAAATCTGCAAATAACACGACATCCATTACTCTCTCAGGTGTGCGTATTGAGTTAGCTCAAACAGTGCGGTACCTGGGTGTCTACCTAGATAGAATACTAACTTTTGAAAGTCATATTAACATGATGTGCAAGGCGATTATTCTGGAGCTACGCAGGATTAGTCACATCAGGCCCTTCCAAACAATTGATGCAACAAAGAGGCTGATGTCTGTATTTGTTTTATCACGCATGGACTATTGCAATGCTCTCATGGTGGGTCTTCCAGGTACGCTCCTGGATAAAATTCAAATAGCACAGAATAATGTGGCTCGCATTGTTCTCCGCAAACGCAAATTCGACCATGCAAAAACACTTCTGAGAGAGTTGCACTGGCTGCCGGTGCGTGCTCGCATAGAGTACAAAATCGCAACTCTGTGCTACCGCTGCTTACATGACCTGGCGCCGTCCTATCTGAAAGAGCTGCTGACGCCTTATGTACCCACTAGAGAGCTCCGCTCATCCGATAGTGGCAAACTCTCGACACCACGTGTTTGCCTTGAGACTTACGGAAAGCGCACTTTCGCATTTGCTGTTCCAACAATTTGGAACGCCCTTTCCTGTCGATCTCAGAAACAACCAGACACTGGAGTCCTTTAAAACCGATTTAAAGACACCTCTATTTCGCAAACACCTTCTGGGATGATTGTCTACCTTATTTTCCAGTTAATGCATAATGGCTGTGTTGCTTATGGTTGAAATGGCTAGAAAGACTTTGCCATTGTATGCTTGTAATTAGTTTTTGTAGTGTTGCGTTTGTTTTAAATGTGGTAAATTATACTTACATGACCTGGCGCCGTCCTATCTGAAAGAGCTGCTGACGCCTTATGTACCCACTAGAGAGCTCCGCTCATCCGATAGTGGCAAACTCTCGACACCACGTGTTTGCCTTGAGACTTACGGAAAGCGCACTTTCGCATTTGCTGTTCCAACAATTTGGAACGCCCTTTCCTGTCGATCTCAGAAACAACCAGACACTGGAGTCCTTTAAAACCGATTTAAAGACACCTCTATTTCGCAAACACCTTCTGGGATGATTGTCTACCTTATTTTCCAGTTAATGCATAATGGCTGTGTTGCTTATGGTTGAAATGGCTAGAAAGACTTTGCCATTGTATGCTTGTAATTAGTTTTTGTAGTGTTGTGTTTGTTTTAAATGTGCTAAATTATAGATTTGTTTTTGTTGACTTCGAGCCTTTGGGTATGAAGCGTGTTTTTGAAATGAACTTTATTATTATTATTATTATTATCTCCAACTTCCCATGTAGATAGAAGCCTGAAATTGGGCAGACATATTCCTTACGGCTTACCTACAAAAGTTAAACACGTTTATTTTCGAAAGCACGGGACCAAGATAAATGGAAAATTCTTATGGACCGCCTAATGCCCCAGACGGGGTAAACGGCATAAGTAAGTAAGTAATTAAACAATAAGTAAAAATAGCGGATACAAAATATAAAGAATAAGGACTTGGTCAAAATTTAATTATAAAAGAGATGTTAAAAATAACGATGAATATAACGAAACAAATAAGAAGATAAAAATAGAAAATATATCACACAAAAAGTAATTAAAATCAGTCAAATCAATTTTTAAACATAAAAACACAAATAGCAAATTTAAAACAAATAGAATAAAATGCTATAATTGGTCCCGTCTCTATGACCCAAATAATGGAACAAACGTGTCAACAAGTAAAAAAGGAAGTAAATAATTAAATAAGTTGGGGAACAAACAAAGCCATAGATAAATGAAAAAACAAGTGGAGAATGTTTAAAAAACTTAACAAGCAGCCAATCAGAAACTTGGCACATTTGTACGTCTGGTATCTGGGTAATGCTTTGTCATTTGATAATTACCATGTCAATGGTTGCCATTACACCCAATGGGTCGTTTTTTTAATTTGGTAAATTAGTGACCTCCATCATCTTGAATCTGATAAATTGATTAACTTCATCATCTGTAATTTGGTAAATTAATGACCTCGATTATCTGTCATCTGGTAAATTAACGACCTCCATCATCTGCAATCTGCGAAAATAATGACCTTCATTATGGTAAATTAATAAATTGAAATAAACAAATAAACAACATTATGCTGTGTGAAGTAGAGATTTTAGCCATGTCCATGCGATGACCAATACATTATGTTTTCTGAAGAAGAGATTACAGCCGTGTCCATGCGATGATTATAACATGAAATACAATGAACTTGAGAATTATAACACTTAATCGTTTAATTAAATTTTAACGTGGCTGTCAAGCTAGAAGTTTAAGTATCATTTCCTAGTACCCACTTCAGACTGACACCGTTCAAGCACGTCGTGTCTCGCCTGTGCATAACACCTCCCTATCTGGTTGTGTCAGGTCAACATGCTTTTTATTAAAAAAATATGTCAAGTATTTAAATGTAGAGTGAGCTTTTATATTTAAAGTTTCTTTGCTGTTTTTTTTTTAAATATTCTGTCAAATTGAGTATTTTGGCAGAGTTAGTTTTTAT